AACCCGCTAATTTTTCTAAGCATGTGCACGAAGACCATATAAACGTCCAGAGAGAATCTTGAAGTAACGAAGTAATGTGTTTGTCTACAATTCTTTCAAAACGAAAAAGATATTCCAAATTTAACAAAAAAAAATCGAGCCCCCATGTGCATCGCTCCACGCCCTTCGTGCAAGGTCACTTACACCCTAGCGATCAAGCAATGCTCGGCGTGGGTAAAACTCAATTATATTTTACATGCAACAGCGCATCATTTAAAAGGTCTTTTTAGTAAAAAAAAAACCATCACTGAAATCTCTGAAATTTGCACTCTTGAATGATTTGAAGGAACAGCTCTATGTTGCCAAAAAATTTGTGGGAGGTCCAGCGTTGAGTAGAACGTAAGTTTATTTTAAGGCCATAAAATTTCTAGCGGTACAGCGCCGTAGAGAGCTTTACGACAAGCAGTACACCTTTGAATTTTTAAAATCCAAGCTTCCGAATGATAGTCGAAGGTCTAGGGAAAGTTTCTGTTCAGCAAAAAAGCTTCCTAATAACATAAATGAACCTTCCAATGCACCACTAACACTTCAGATTATCAGAGTGATACACTGTGTGAATTCACACTTTAGTACAAGACATTAAAGCTGCTATTCAGTATGGACTCATCAAGTTTATTTAAAAGTTTTCGAGAGTTTTACGCCCGAAATTTCATATTTCTGCACGAGGATACTAACTTTTACATCAAAACTTTTCCCGTATATCGCTGTCTTGTCAACGCTCAGAGAAACACTCGGTTTCACTCTAAGCTTGTCAACAAAGTGTTCTCCTTTTGTCGGACGCATGCAATCTACTCCTTTCAAGAATGTACTATCGGTCTTCTCCCCTTTGTAAGAGATTAAGTAAACTACATCCGTTATACATGTAGGCACCGTCTCCGTCACTAGGGCATATTATGAACTCCTGCGTTTTCCGCAAGTGGCCATATAAACGATAGCGAACAGTTGGTGCCACAGAGTTAGCGGTGGCATTTTAATTACTCTTACCAAATTCTCTATACCCAACCTTCTCAAACCATTATCAGTTAGTGTGAATTTTTCCGAATTAGTCTCCACCTGGAATATGCACTGGTAGACGTAAATAAAAGCGATAACTGTGTGAAAAAGTGTTTTGCATCAAATGCGGTCAAAATCTAGGCTTCGCCTTACGGAGGTGTTTGACCGACTAGGCTGCAGTCAATTTGGCCACCATATGCTCTGAAGAAGACAAAATCTTTTTAAAACTACGAATTACTTGAAAATACTATCGGATTTACTGAGCTTTTAAGCAAGGTGTATATATATATGTATATATATGTATATATATATATATTATATATATATATATATATATATTATATATACTGGCGTAAACCGTAAGCCAAGCAAACGCAACTGGCAAGTATCACTCTGGCTGGAACATCACGTTGAGTGTGCATTCACGTGTACAGTGTGTAACTTATATGACGACGATCCCTATGATTGTAAGGTTTGAACAGCGGAATGGCTACTAGTCATGAGGCTTCTGAGAAAGCCAAAACGTGCATCTAGCACTTGAGGTGCCATATCAGACCCTTGGAAGATTAAAGAAAATTTTATCTGATCATACTAAATGCTTTATTTTCCAGTAGTATCGGCTTTCGTGATTTCCACACTATCCCTGGCTAGCAAAGAAACTTCTTGCCACTTCACATTCCTTCTTTTTCATAATAAAAGCAAATAAAAACGTACCAACATTGTCGACGAATCCGTTTTTATTACTTCTTCGTGGATACAGCGATAATCGAGATGGAATGCGATGTACGCAGAAATTGAGCACATGAACAAGACTATCAGACAAAGTAGCCGCTTCTTCTAAAAATAATTTAGTAGGGAGCTAAAATTTGCACTCAATGAGCTGTTGTGTTTGAAGTATACCACATAATTTCCATTTGATTTATCTGAACTGTGGGACAAGAAAGAGCCGGAAAAGTCGGCAATATGACATAAAATTCTGACCAAGTACAATCTCTTCTCGCCGTGTAAAGCTCTCTCAATCTCGATCCGGATAGCGGGTTTGATGTCAGTCAAATGGTTGTCTTATTCGTGGTAATTGAAGCTGATTAGCTTGTCACATATAAATCTCCTTTACAAAATAGAAAAAGCAGAAGCTTCTCGATCATCTACTGACACAACTGCTGTTTTGTTGTAATTTTTCATCAGGCCGAGAGAGTAAAAAAAAACTTGGTTTTTCGAATGGTGTTAATAAGCATCTAGAATAAATTGTGGACAAATCCTTGCATATCGTGCAATTCGCCGCTCACCGCGTTTCTATTGCTATAAGACCTTCTGTTCTAATAGATTGTTTGAGGTAATAGGATAATGACTGATGGAGAGAGGTTGGAAGATACTACGTACAGACTTGGGCACTTCGACGACCTTTCCTCAGAGGTCGTACGAACAACGACATATTTTTCATGTGTTTCAAGAATATTACTTCCATTCCAGGGGGGATTTTATTTATGAATTGCACGACATCGTAGATTTTAAAGGTCTCCAAAAACTGTAGCCTACCCGTTTTACAGCCTTGCTTTTTTTCAATGAATTTCACCTAGCCTTAAAAGCACTGTGGTGAATTTTTGCAAAGAGGGTTTCGCTTTAAGTGTCTATAACAATCAAAAATCGCTGTCATTAAGACCAAATATTTTCTTCTCTTGCTTTGTTTAGAGATTTATTGCGAATTGAGATATCGCGTTTTATCGTTTCTGAAAGCCATTTCCATTTTGCTGTTGAAAGCTAAATATTGGTCTGCAATAAATTTGATGGAGTCTGCCTTCTGTTTGGCCGTTCACATCTAAGAAGGCATAAATGTCGCCTATCTGTCTTACGTGCACTGAATTCGTTCTAGTAGACGCACAACTTATTGGCAGGCTTATTGGGGAGGAGATCCTCTATTGCTGGGTTCAGTTGCTGTCACGATGAGTCGACATTCTTCATCGCTATATTGGATAGCTTTGCTCAGCTGGCAAGGTAATTTGGCACTTTATTCCAGACAATTTAAGACATCAAAAAGCTAAATGAGTCGGGAACTATAGAAAGATATATAGGCATGTTTCTTTTGCAAAAGCCTTTGTGATTTGCAAACAGAACATTGAAAGATCAACTTAGTAATATCAAAAGCTTGAAGTGGTGAACTTTCTGTAGTAGTTAAATTTAGAAAAAGTTTCGGGACGAAATTATTGACTTTTCCAGTCTAATCTATTGATGTTACCTGAGGATAGCAGGATCGATTGACTACAATGTTGCTGAGTTATGAACACATACCACTCTAACACATAACGAGTACAGTGCGATGAAATTCCTCTTAGAAGAATGGAAGAAAGGAGAAGGAGCGACGAAACGAGAATAGACAGCCATCGAAGAACTTTAACCTCGTTGAACGTTTTTTGGCTTAACCACGGGTAGTACCCCGTTCGCGGAAAAATATAAATATGATAATCGGTTTATGACCTGAAAATCAGATAGAGTTAAGTAGTAATTATTCAAGAGCAGTTCCACATTTTCACTTTTCAAAAAATCCTCTTTATAGCAAATCTCCCAACGGAGCTTTGCTATCTTTTCCGGGATTACATGATAATTTAGGCATCGCAGATGGTCCATGACCTTAGAGAGCAATTGGTAACGCAGAGTTCGGAACCTTAGACAGAAATGGTCCCAGTGGCACCCGGCTGCCACTACGATCCACTGGTCCGTCATGATGTCGACGTTTAACATTTCGTGCTTAAATTTGCTTCAGCCCTTTCCATACATTGAATGGAAGGTGCCTTTGATGTAATGACGGAATTCAAACATACCGGGTGGATTTCCAAGTTTAAGGTTGTTTGGTTAAGACTTGATGAAATGAAGTTGTCTCGTTCAGCTACTCATACAGTTGAGTTGTCGCAATGATGAGTCAATGCGAATACTTCATTGGACTTTTGAAGTTGAGTTCTTTGGTCGCAAGACTCTTATCAAAACTGAATGTCTAGTAAGTTTTACATGATTCTTTACAGTCTCACATTACGCTTTTAAGCTGTTAACAATATTTGGTTATTCGTTTTTCTTAAAGTAAATAAACGTTGCAAACAGTATACGCTCCATGCTGACTTCTTTTCTTTTCGAAGAAAAATGACAGCACTTTTTTCATTGAACACAGAAAAAAACGTCTTAGATCACTAATTAGTCGTTCTAACTGAATCAGTGGTAGCATTTGGGAATATGAGCCGACTGGTGAGGTTTTTATAATTGATAGCGGAGCAAATACACTATCATATAAAATGTACATTTTCTACAATGTGTATAAGTTAAGTTAAACCCTCGCTACCAGTAGTAAGATAACATCCAAACGGATAGACGTACTGTGTAGCCCCGACTTTCAATGCTTGAGTATATAAACATGTTACGTATTATAAGGTAAGGAATTTGGTAAAATACACACTATAGGGATAGGTTAACGGGATAAAATCAAAAATACGAAAGAGAAAGGACTAACGCATTGGCGAAATTAGCTGCGGGAAACAATGAGTTTTCGGAAAAAATCATTCATACATCATCGATCAATGAAAGTTTACATTCAGAATGTACTTTACAATTGCCTATTCAATAATGTTTTGAAATCATGAAAATATTACATTCAAGCACTGATGACGTAACTCTTTAGTTGATGCTCATGATAATGGATTACCTAATTAGGCCATGAGGAAACAAAACATTGCCCAGTAGGGTGTAAAACCTCACAGGAGATCACTCATTGCTCTGACATATAAGATTTGACGTGCTATAATTACAGAAAAAGGCAAGTCAATTTGAATAATGTCGGTAACGATAAAGATGATGACTTTATATTAGCTCGAAAGTGAAATAAGATTACCCAGTGATGTAGAGTGATGACTGCACTACATCTGTCTGTCAGCCGCCAAGCGTTGTAGCTGATGCACTGTAGCGTAGAAAGAGTGATGTACAAATGGGTGCCAGTAGTGCAACGGGTTAGAGCACGCGCTCTCTCATAGAGTGAGATGAGGGTTCGAGTCTCGCCTGGCTCAAAATTTTTGCACATCACTCTACATCACTGGGTAACTTGGAAAATCATACCACAGCTAAAGGCGGTCGAAAAAAGAATTCGATTCGATTATTCATTGAAGTAAAGACCCACCGAAATAATCTGTAATAATCAGCGCTGACTTAGCTGCAACTTCGCTCTCGCCTTTCAATTCAGCAGTTCTCACTGTAGTTCTTTTATGGATCAGTATCGTGGCTTTTGCTTTAGCCAGCTAACGAAAAAAGTAAGATTTTATTATCCAGTTATATTGCAATCTCTTATCAAATCGGAAATGGGAATGGCCACTGTGTATCAACTGTCTGTTGAGATTATCTCGAAAGAGCTGCGATTAAATAGACTGTGTAATTTTATATGACAGCAGTGACTACTTTGCGGCGATCTTGAAAATTCAGCGCTTTGATTGGAACTGCCGATGTTCAAACAGATGTTTTTTTTTCATGCGGATGAAAGTGATCTGCTCATTTTGCATGTATATTCTTTGCTGCGGGTCTTACATGTTATCAAATAAGTTGCGCCCGAGCACAATATATTTCATGTTCAGACAGTTCAAAAATTTCAAGCGGCCGTTATTAACCCAATATGAAATATCGGCCCAGTTAATTAGGCAATATACTTTCGTGTGCACAAGTTGCGGCCCTAACACATTTTCCATTCGTTTCATTTGCCTCGTGATCGTCGTCCATGGTGGTGGTTCACTTCGAACATGATGGCACACTCAAGATCCTTTTGTAAACTCAGTCTCGATTCATCTACACCTCCAGGTGGTCGACGATAGCCACAGATGCGTCTGCACTTCGCTCGACTCGTTCGAATTTCTTTTTTTTTCTTTTTTCGGACTCCATTCGATGCTTTTCGTCCATTCTCAAACTGTCCTTCTCAGTATATCGCAAGCCCTTGTTTCGTTTTCGATTTACATCTTCTGCAGTGAGAAGATGAGATGGATTTCGAAACACCAGTTGCTCGAAGCCGACTAGACGTTGCCACAGCTAATGAAACTCCACAAGACATTCATTAGTTCATCGGTGGTTTATCTCTTCTTTTCGTTTCAGCTGGAAGTTGCTGCACATGTTGAATGAGTGTTGAAAATATTTGTGCAACGTGCTCCCCTTTGTTAGAGAGCCATCCTATACTATTTGTTAATCTTCTTATTAATGATCCTTGAAATAGTGGATTTTTAGTTCTATCTAAACGTAGTCCAATCCTCTTCCCATTCCTTGTGCTTATTCATCACCGTCCCTGCTTTACTGCCACTTCTCTAAAACATGATAATGCCATCAAATGTCGTTAGGGATTTTCCACCAAAACGTGCAAATTTCTCGCCCTAAACAAGTAATTTCATTGACTATGGCATTGTGACACTGAACTTCGGTGATATGATTTAGCTTCAGCAAGTCCTACCTCCCTTGGGTATGGTAAGGAGTCGCGCGATAGAAAAACGAATGGAATTTGTGCAGAGGACTGCACTGCCAGTGAAGATAAATATCTAACTATGGTAATGGGGTTGTCGCAATGCTGTGTTTCGCGGTGTGGTCTACGTAGTCTCACAAGAGATATAGTTTGCCATCTGGAGAGTACTTCAATTAGCGTAGATTTTATAACACGGCATTCGACCAAAAAACATCTGGCTATGCTATCACTGTTACTTCATTTGATAAGCTAATGAAAAGTCTAGGAAAAACTTTCCATTACACGAATTTTGGCGCTATCACCTTTTCGGAGCTTTGAATTTATGTCATTTAAACTATATGAATGTCAGAAGTTATGAGTGGTCGGGATATTCCTAGGGGAACGTGGTGTAGAATTGATACCGATTTGCTCTTTATGATTTATTGTCGCGAAGTTTTGTGGGTTTAGCTTTACAAAAACTTAGGAACAAAACTCTTGCAAGATATTTATATTTGGTTGAATTACCAATGGAAGACAAAAAAAATTGCATAACTACTCGTCTTTGTCTAGAATCTCCACTACATAACTATTTGAAAGAGTAAAAATTCCGAGAAAATTAGGATGCAAACTTTCAAGGATCCTAGGTAGTAAATAATTAAGTGAATAAAAGAATCGATTCTCGCACCTATCACCTGCAAAGTCCTTCAACCATTTAGAGTGTTATTTCGCTTGCTATTTGAGGGCTAGGCCTTCTTTATGAATATTGTGGAATAGTGATCAAGTTGAATCTCATTGCAATGTGGATTACCTGCCAAACAAAGGCGCTTCCATGACTTCCACGACGTGATTGCAGGAGAATGTTGGAAAAGGATAGAATTAGTGCGCTGCTTCCTGTTAGCCCCTATTACTAACCTTCGACTACCACCAATCGTTTGGCCTTGATGTTGTTCCATACTATGTTGAAAACTTTCTCAGCGACGAAAATCTGCACATCTCACATTTTCTGTGGCTTAATTCAGTGTGAAGGAGTTCGTCCCAAATTTTTTCAGGTTAAGAGGTAGCTTATTGAAAGCAAATAGAGACCCATTAAAAATCAAACAACTTCATTGCTACATATTAATTAATGCATACTTCGCCACCTAACCGCTATAAAGAATCGTCTTTGATGACTTTCACTTTTGATTTGTAAAAAGGCTTTCTCAGTTGTCGAATTTATTTTTTATGTGAGGGCATTTCAGGCGCCTCTTCACGCGTCACATTGCTTACGCTGCATACTCATTTCAATAGCAATGATCGCTCGCCTACGGAATGAACCCATCCGAAGGCAGATTTTCATTGATCAGTACGCATCACAGTTTCTTAATCTCTTATGATTCGAAGAGACATTTGACAATCTGGCAAGGTTTCATTAAGTCTCGTCGATGTGTGCTGCCATGTGTTAATGCGCGTAATCACATGGTCACGACAGAGCTACTGAACTCTTAATTTAGATGGAAAGAGGCCGTTTGGGGAAGTGTTTTTGTCAGCGTGGCCGTTGCCATCAATTATAAATTGCTTTTCCGTGAATCTTTTTTATGTTTTTTTTCGTGAATTATTACTGAAGAACACGGCAGCAAAGTTGATCGTGCATTGCAGATTTTGTTTAGGAAGTGTGACCATAAACATCGGAATGATATACGAAGAGATAGTATTACCCCATATGTCAACTAAATCATCCATATCGTGCAACCTTCTCTTTCATAAATTCAACATTAAACATCAAAGTGTTAAACAAGCCAGATTACACAGCCATGAAAAATGGTAATATCTTAGAGCGAAACGAAATACTGTTTCGTAGCGGGCGTACACTCTTTCTTCTGCAGGATTGTGAAACCTCGCAAGGAAACAAAGAAGGGAGACCGTCGAATGTAAGCAGACATGGCGTTGCCCGGCACGAACAAATGAGAGAACTGTAAATTCGAAGAAATCTACTCATAAAATGACGTATGGTTAGTTTTCGACAAATAGATGAAGTGTTAAGGATGACGTCAACGTAATACTGATTACTGTTCAACAGTAGTAATGCGGAGCAACCTCCAAAGACAAAGAAGAATTTCATCGACATTTCTTCTTTTGGTAAGCTACCCAAAGAAATTGTGGTATTTTCCGTTATCCACACCTTGCCTCAGACTCAATGTAAAAATGCGGAAGAAGAGCAGTGTTAGCATTCAGTTCTTTCTAAGTTTCAATAACCATTCGATAGCGTGGACCTCGAAAATTCCAACGCTATCCTCGGTGCTTGAGAAGAACTTTCTAGAGCGCTGTAGCAGACAAGAGAGAACTAGGGTCGCACTCAAAGAGCATTTTTTGCTCTTGTGTGTAAATGAACTGGAGTCCTCGGGAAGTCAAGCGCTCTAAAGGAAGACCACTGAGCTGTTGCTCCGGTTTCTTCACGAAAGCGATAGAAGAAAGATATGATGCTCAGCGAATCCCTAGAGCGAGGAGGTCCCACTGGGTTACTCTTGCACGCGATAGGGAAAAAATGGAAGAGTTTCTGGTACCCGCTCGAGTCACTCGACGACCAACGGGACGACAGGTGATGCAAGTGAAATTTCTCAACATTGGCACCAAGCCACGGCGTTTTGCAATGTAACAGTTACTTGATAGCATAAATTCAGATGATTCCGAAGCCAAGTGTGCACGAACTTTATTTTATCGTTCTGTGGGCTTAGGTTTTTTCTTTGATTTACATCGCCAAAATTTCCTTCACCGTGACTCACGAAGTTGCTATAAATCAACATATCCAAGGAGACTCGACTGAGTCAACCTGGAACCTGTCTCTCTTAATTTCTATCTGTAGAGAACATTCTCCATAATATACCAAATGTTGTCTACCCTTTCTCAAGTGCGAATCACTGATTTATATTGTTACATTTAATCCGTGTATTGTAATTTCGTAAGCCTATATATGTGTATCGAAAGACGGCTAAACTTTCGATGCACTTTGGATCATGTTTACAGTAGTGCTCAACACTCTCGTGATTAGTGTGACATTAATGACCTCTCCTTTTTGTACTTTTAAATTAGTCACGCAATCGAGCTCATTTTGGTATTTGACCTTTTGACGTGACCTATTCGTAAACGTATGCTCTCTAATCTTACTGTGGAGTCTCCAACCTTAGCTTTAGCATTGTTTTACTCTAACCTCAAGCCCGCCTTTTGGGGAGAAATGTGTATACATGGTCAAAGGTTAATTTCATGCTTCCACTGATTTGCCTTCTCGACTAGCTCTTCGACCTCCTCTTCTGTTGTCCACGCTAATTGTAACCCCCCTACATAACCCATTGTTATTGTTGCACTGTTATTATAAAGATAAACGATAGTCCAAGTCAAGGAGTTCGGTACAGAAGCAGCTAATAAAGGTCCCGCGTGGCCTAAAGGACTCTAGCAACTCAGTATAACCACAGAACTTTCTCTGCTATACTAACATTATCTCATAAATAACTTTATCTCTATCTATTACTGCTTGCAGTCCACGATGTATCGTCACGCAAATTTGCCCGAACAGTTCATGCATCGAATTGAAAAAGGGTCGACGTGATTATGTAATGGAAACCA